ATATTTTATATTTCTTCTTTCAAATTGCACTTAACATGTCCACTTCAATATACAAAATTAAATACAAAATCTAGTCATAAGGAATTATTACATGATTACTCCACCAGTCACTAGAACAGCACACACACTCAGAAATTATTTGCAGATAATTAATTCCTCATCAAAAAATCTTTTTAGACCAATGAGGTGAAATAGGATGATTTTCTACACCTGACCATCACTAACAGCACACTAGTGTACCGAGGACCAGGGGTTGAAAAACACTGGGGTAAGGGCTAGGGATAGGGGGGCTAGGATTAGGGTTGGGTTAGAGTTAGGGGGGGTTCCCTTTCTCATGATAAACAGCTACATACAAATGATGGGACAAAGCCTCATGCTGGAAATGTTCTGGTGCCACATGGAGCCCGAAGTGGAAAACAAACTCTGTCCAGAACAACTTTGTTTTGCTGGTAGTTTTAATTTATTCTACAGATGTGGGGCAAATTTGTATCCAGTTTGTGTCACTGTTGTGTAAAACTCGATAGCATTTCTACCTTTGCTTAATAATACTAAATAATAATATTAATAATAATGAATTAATAATAATGTATTTAATTAATTAATTATTAATAAATAATACTACTACTACCGATGTGGGACAACTTTTTACCCAGTTTGTGTCACTGTTGTGTATAACTCAATAGCATTTCATCTATTTCTACCTTTGCTTAATAATACTAAATAATACTATTAATAATAATTAATTAATTAATAATAATTTATTTAATTCATTAATTATTAATAAATAATACTTAATAATACTACTACTACCGATGTGGGACCACTTTTTATCCAGTTTGTGTCACTGTTGTGTCTAACTAGAAAGAATTTAATCTATTTATACCTTTCCTTAATAATATTAAATAATAATATTAAATAATAATATTAATAATTAATTAATTAATTATAATTTATTTAATTAATTCATTATTAATAAATAATACTTAATAATACTACTAATACTGATTAATACTGATGTGGGACAACTTTTTATCCAATTTGTTTGTGTCATTGTTGTGAATAACTCAATAGCGTTTCATCTATTTCTACCTTTGCTTATTAATACTAAATCATAATAATAATAATAATTAATTAATTAATAATAATTTATTTAATTAATTAATTATTAATAAATAATACTTAATAATACTACTACTACCGATGTGGGACAACTTTTTATCCAATTTGTGTCACTGTTGTGTATAACTCAATAGCATTTCATCTATTTCTACCTTTGCTTAATAATTTTCCTCTGGGATTATTAAAGTATTTCTGATTCTAACATCATCGTCTTTGGTTTTTGTTTAATTTGCTCATAACACCAGGACTGAATACCATCTCTATGAGGACTAATACAGCTAAGCCTTTTTCCCCCCATAACCCTTTAAAGCCCGATCCAAGAAAAATAGGAAGAATATTGGATTTTTTTAGTCTGAAGTCTTTCTTTGGTCCCTCAACAACATATGAAGAAAAAAAACAGAAATGATTTTAATCAAATTAGCGTGCAATAAGTCAGAAATCTATGTTGGTGTAGTCTTCTACTGGCTGTTATCAGGTATATCTGAATGTGTACAACAGGGGTTTGAGCAAAGCTTTTACCACTGAATGATGCAGAAAGTCTCAGATCCAAAAGAAACCGGATCAGATATGACACATTTGGCTTTATAGGGTTAACTTCTCTCTGGTAACTTTCCACAATTGAAGATTTTAAAGGTTCTTTCCTCCTTCAAAGTCTCAGACCAAACCAGGTCTCCTCATATTTTGTCTAACAATCTTTTGTTAATTTTGTTAATTTAATACAGATGCAGGAGGAAGGACAGACTTTACATCCCATTTTAGAATGAAGGACGGACTTTACGTCTCATTTTGGACTTATTTTGGTATAAAATACGCTATAATTTGTTTTACTTTAGGACAGCTTGGTGCCTCACATGAACTATGGCTTTCACTTCATGAAGTTTTCCCTTTCCATTTTTTTTTTTTTCAAAAATCTGTTTATTGTCTTTGACAATTCAAAGAGACATACAGACAAATAACTCACAAGTGCACAAAACACCTAACAAAATTAAAAGAAGAGAAAACACATTAACAATTTAAACATTCAAGGTGACCAGCATTAGTTGATTGACAAAATATTTTAAGATTGATATCTCAGGGTAGTATGTCCCTTTTTCCCCTTTTAATAAACTTCTATTTCTTACTTCCTCAGATGGACTCAGACTTTTGCTTTAAAACAACCTTTCCCCATTAGCCCGTTAGCTCACGTTTTTCAGACGCGGCTCCTGATGGTGAGAGAAAAACCTCCTACCTGGATTTTTCCCAGAACCCCGGTGGTCTCCATCCTGCTCGCCACATTAACGCTGTTCCCCCAAATATCGTACTGAGGTTTCTGGGCCCCGATCACCCCCGCAATCACGGGCCCGTGGTTTATCCCTAGAAAAAGATAGAGAAACGTGGAGATAGTCTTTTAGAATAAATCCTGTCCCGTTTGGGGGATTTTCTGGTGTTTTTGTCCTGTTTCCATGTCAGATCAAGTCAAGTCAAACTTTATTTATATAGCACATTTAAAATAACCAAGGTTGCCAAAGTGCTGTACATAAAAAGCATGTAGCCTATATGTGATTTTAATGTAAAAATAAATAAATAAATAAATAAATAAATAAATAGATAAATAAGAGAAATAAAAAAGGTAAAAAGGTGCTCTACCTCAACCTAAGGTTAAAATGTTATATAGCACATTTAAAATAACCAAGGATGCCAAAGTGCTGTACATAAAAAGCATGTATATGTGATTTTAATGTAAAAAATAAATAAATAAATAAATAGATAAATAAGAAAAATAAAAAAGGTAAAAAGGTGCTCTACCTCAACCTAAGGTTAAAATGTTAAAAGCCATGTCAAACAAATGGGTTTTTAAACAGGACTTAAACTCCTCTATGTGGTCTCATCATTTCCTGTTTTATTTTGATAAGTAACCCTCCTCTTGTTTTAGGTCTCTTGCACTTCCCGGTGTGTTATCGGTCCAATTCTCTTCCTGATCACCAATTGTGTTCACCTGGAGTTCCCTTTTCCCTTCATGTGTTAAATAGTCCAAGTTTCTCTTTGTTTTGGGCCAGTTTGTCTTCATCCTATGTCCTACTGAGCTGAACCAAACCATAGTGATCCTTCCCTTGTGCCTTGGACCTGTTTATTCCTGTCTAAGAGTGATTTAGATTTTGTACTTTTTAGTGTTTGTTCTCGTCTCCGAGTATTGTTTTGATACTTTGTTTTTTTATCTTTTGTCTGCCTCAATTGATAATTATTATTTGGTACTTTGCCTTCTTCTCCCTGCCAGGCAGGCAAAAGATTAAACAAAAAACAAGTATCAAAACAAAACTCACTCGGAGACGAGAACAAAAACTAGAAAGTACAAAATCAAAATCACATGAGTGGAGGGAACTCCAGGTGAACACAATAGGTGATCAGGGAAGAGAATTGGACAGATGACACACCAGGAAGTGCAAGAGACATGAAGGTTACTTATCAAAATAAAACAGGAAATGAGAGACCACATGGAGACAGGATAAAACACCAAAAAATCTCCCAGGTGAGACAGGATTCAGTCCAACTGAAGCTCATTAAGCCTGATCCAAGAAAAATAGGAAGAATATTGGATTTTTTTAGTCTGAAGTCTTTCTTTGGCCCCTCAACAACATATGAAGAAAAAAAAAAAAAGAAATTATTTTGATCAAATTAGCGTATAATAAGTCAAAAATATATGCTGGTGTAGTCTCCTACTGGCTGTTATCAGGTATATCTGAATGTGTACAACAGGGGTTTGAGCAAAGCTTTTACCACTGAATGATGCAGAAAGTCTCAGATCCAAAAGAAACCCGATCAGATATGACACATTTGGCATTATAGGGTTAAACACTGTCATATCAGATCGTTTCCGTGGCGACCGACTGTTTCTCACCGATTCTTAGCCTGAAGTCGTTGAACGAGTGCTTGTTGATCACGTCCAGCTTCCCAACGAGAGCAAAAGCAAACTCCACCATCGTGCCGATGTGCATGTACTGTCTGTCGTGTTCCTGAGGTCAAATCAGGAGGAGAAAAGAAAGTTAAACGGGATTTTCCCGTGCAAATCAAAATAAAAACAAGCATCCTGTTGCTCATTCTGACAAAGAAATCTCAAGTTTTACATCCACTGTAAACACAGAAGATGGAAACCAACACAAAGTAAGAGAATCAGTGGATATATTTATTCATTTTCATTCAGGAAAATAATAATAAACACACTAATGCAAAGCAAAAGAGAAAAGTGAGGATGTATGGGAAGACTGAGCCACGGCGAGCGTAAAGATTCAGTTGTTTTATCAGTTAAACATTTCTAAAAAGAGAAACAATCTTAAGGCTAATAAAATGCTTTTTACTGTAAAGACCAGCTCTTCAATTCTCAATTAACTTCTCATTTTCTGTCGCTATTTTTCTGTAAGACTGCTTTGTTAAAAAAAAAAAAAGGCTCTGATTGGTCCACTTCTGTGGTTTTATCTTAGACTTTTTCTTCTAATAAAAAAAAGTAATATAAGCAACGTCTCCTAAAACCACATGTTTAGTCAGAATTGGAGCAGATAAGTGTAGGACTCCAATAAAAGTTAAAAAAACCCAGCTATGCATAATCTAATTTCCCGGGAACAAATGGAGGTTAATGGACTGGCACCACAGTCCGTGTTCTGCTTTTTCTCCTGACAATTACATTCCTCAGAGTTGGAAAATGTGGTACGCATATTTGGAAAGTGTTCAGCAGACTCTTAGAATCCTATTTACTGAAGTGAAACCAGACCAAGAGAAGTTCCCCCACAAAGTTACCCGGCGCCACCACAGTTTAAATATTAACATCTCCTCAAAAAAGGGAAAAATGGACCCTCAAACATCCCTATGATCGTAAGGTTGTATTTCCATGCTCTACTCTGCTGTCCGTAATTCCATTAGACCATTTAGTGTTGTGTAATGAGGAATAAATTGAATCCTGAATACATCTACTAAGCAAAGAATGGAACCTCATTGGTGGAGCAAATGCAAACAAACAGACAAAGAAAAAATAAACCTTTGGATAAGTAAGTTATGCAAGTTCCCCTCAACCTGAAAACCCACATGATGCTCTACATGGGACCATTTTCTCAACCCTTTAAAGCCCGATCCAAGAAAAATAGAAAGAATATTGGATTTTTTTAGTCTGAAGTCTTTCTTTGGCCCCTCAACAACATATGAAGAAAAAAAACTGAAATTATTTTGATCAAATTAGCGTGCAATAAGTCAAAAATATATGTTGGTGTGGTCTTTTACTGGCTGTTATCAGGTATATCTGAATGTGTACAACAGGGGTTTGAGCAAAGCTTTTACCACTGAATGATGCAAAAAGCCTCACATCCAAAAGAAACCGGATCAAATATGACACATTTGGCATTTTAGGATTAAAAAGGAATAACTCTTTCCAAAAGACGTATTTTTAAAAAATGTATCGATTTATTCTTTTCAATAAAGAGTGTGTTTGGTTGGAATTTATAGAAAGATTACTGGCTGTCTGAATGTTTGCAAATCAAACTTTTATGAAGGACGATGGACTAGTAAAAGCCCCTTTTCCATAAAAAGAAATGGGCTCCGAACAACTGGTTAGTTTGAGAGAACTGAATGGAAGATAATGGAAACATGACACTGATAAATGCATAATATTTCACAAGTGGGTATAGAAAATTAACAGAACAGCTAAAACAGGATCAAATTTGGCTATAAGATAGCTATAAAATGAGGGTTAATGAGTAATCTGTTGGAACCAGGAAGCTCATTCAGTCCTACGTCAGCCATCTTTAAAAATGTTTCTCTTTATTCCTCATCGTGGATCATTAACCTGATGTGTGTTTCCACCTTTGGATCCGAGGCTGTGAAAGGCCTGTCTGTAAATGTTTGACTGACCCGTGTTAAAATGAGTAAACCGGAGCTGTTAAAAGGTCTAAAAGAGTTTGTGGTTTTTAGGGAATGGGCTCTTAAAAACCAGCCAAAAATCTGAATGTGTACAACAGGGGTTTGAGCAAAGCTTTTACCACTGAATGATGCAGAAAGTCTCACATCCAAAAGAAACCGGATCCGATATGATATATTTGGCTTTATGGGGTTAAAAGCTTGCCTGAGCACACTCTGGTCCCGGAGTCACGTTCAGGCCGGTTGCAGCCATGTAGGTGCTGCCGATGGTCTTTATCTTCTCCACGCCACTGAACTTTGGTTTGGACAGCAGCTGGGGGCGAAATAAATACTGTTAGAACTGGGCTATAATTACTCGCTTTAGCACAGTATATTAGACTTAGACTTAGACTTGTACTTTATTGATTCATTGGGAAGACTCCCTCTGGAAAGTAAAGTTACCAGCAGCTTACAGGGCAAAAAAAGTGGCACACAAAGAGCAGAATTAAGCAAAAAAAAAAAAATTCACTAAATGTAGCCAATAGCCCAAAAAATAAATATATAAATACAAAGTAAAAAATAGATAAATTAAGCAAAAATAAGCAAGGAATAACAATAAGAATATAAATACAAAGTAAAATATAAAAACCCCTAAATTAAGCAAAGAATAAGACTGATTGTCTTATTCCTTTGTTATATTCATATTATTCCCTTTATAATTCTACTTTTGGGTTAAACTCTCTGGCTGTGCCTCCTCCTCCTCTCTCTGTTACAGTTTCTATCTATCTATCTATCTATCTATCTATCTATCTATCTATCTATCTATCTATCTATCTATCTATCTATCTATCTATCCTCTCTCTGTTACAGTAGATACTCGTCTTCAAGCTCAACATCCACACTTTCTTATCACATTCCACCTAAACCTGCATGAATTAGGACCTGGCCTGTTCCTGTCAGAGCTAACTGGCCATTAACACTGACTTTACAGCTTATACGTGGCCATTATACCGTTTTTAAACTTGTTTTATGTTTTGTTACTTTTACCTTTTGTGTTTTACACCTTTTTTTGTTCGAAAATGTCCCAAAAAATCAAAGAGAGATGACGATTACCTTACTAGCATGTTACTATAATGGCACTGCTAACAACTAAGCTAGCCGCTGCTTTCGGAGTTTAACCCTTTAAAGCCTGATCCAAGAATAAAAAAAAAACAGAAAAT